ATAGAATAGAATAGAATAGAATAGAACATAAAATAAAAATATGGAGTGGAATAGAAATGAAAAGAAACAAAAAGAGAAACAAGAATAGAATAGAGCAGAGGTAGTCAACCTTTTTATACCTACCGCCCACCTCTGTTAGTAGTAAAATTTTCTAACTGCCCACGGTTCCACAGTAATGGTGATTTATAAAGTAGGGACAAAACCCCTACCGCCCCCCATGAAAGCTGGAATGCCCACTAGTGGGCAGTAGGGACCAGGTGGACTACCACTGGAATAGAGCTTGAAATAGAATAGAATAGAATAGAATAGAATAGAATAGAATAGAATAGAATAGAATTAATTAGAATTAGAATAGAATTAGAATAGAATAGAAGAATAGGATAGAAGAATAGAATAGAACAGAACAGAACAGTACAGAACAGAACAGAATAGAATAGAATCGGCATACAATTAAAATGAAATTTCCTTGCATTCAACTCTCAAAGGGTCTCCATTTGTATATTTAGACTACTTGTACATCTATTCTCCCCTGTCCCGTTTTCTCTTCACAGGTCCTTGCACTCCGAGAGGAAGGTTCCAGAAGGTTGGTGTTTGTTAGTTAATTATTTTATTAACAAGGTATTTGGCCAACAAGAAAGAGCCGTAAATGAAGTCATTGATCTTTAGCATTCACTCTTTTTTTATAGGTAGTCCTCGACTTACGACCACCATTGGGCCCAAAATTTCTGTCGTAAAGTGAGACATTTGTTAAGCGAGTTTTGCCCCATTTTACGACCCTTCTTACCACAATTGTTAAAGTCAATCACTGGAGCTGTTAAGTTCCTAACCCGGTTGTTAAGTGAATGTGGCTTCCCCAGCTCCTGCGACCGTCATAAATACGAGTTCAAGTTATCCAAATTTTGATCACGTGACGTGGCTGGGGAATTCTGGGAGTGGAAGTCCACTCCTCTTAAAGTTTCCAAGACTGAGAAACACAATTCTTAGGCAGGCAGTCCCACTACTTAGCTGCTCTCCCCATCTGGAAATTCTTCCTGAAGCTCCTTTCCTTCTTCCTTCTTTCCTTCCTTTCCTTCTTTCCTTTCCTTTCCTTTCCTTTCCTTTCCTTTCCTTTCCTTTCCTTTCCTTTCCTTTCCTTTCCTTCCTTCCCCTTCCCTTCCCTTCCCTTCCCTTCCCTTCTGCCTCCTTTCCTTTCCCTTCCCTTCCCTTCTCTTTCCTTTCCTTTTCCCTCCCTTTCTCTTCCCTTCCCTTTTGCCTCCTTTCCTTCCCTTCCCTTCCCTTTTGCCTCCTTTCCTTTCCTTTCCTTTCCTTCCTCCCCTTTCCTTTCCTTTCCTTTCCTTTCCTTCCCTTCCCTTCCCTTTCCCTTCCCTTCCCTTCCCTTCTGCCTCCCTTTCCTTTCCCTTCCCTTCCCTTCTCTTTCCTTTCCCCTTTCCTCCCTTCTCTTCCCTTCCCTTTTGCCTCCTTCCCTTCCCTTCCCTTCCCTTCCCTTTTGCCTCCTTCTTTCCTTTCCTTCTTTCTTCCCTTCCTTCCCTTCCCTTCCTTCCCTTCCCTTCCCTTCCCTTCCCCTTTTGCCTCCTTCCTTCCCTTCCCTTCCCTTCCCTTCCTTTCCCTTCCCTTCCCTTCTGCCTCCTTCCTTCCCTTCCTTTCCCTTCCCTTCCCTTCCCCTTCCCTTCCCTTCCCTTCCCTTCTGCCTCCTTTCCTTTCCCTTCCCTTCCCTTCTCTTTCCTTTCCTTTCCTTTCCTTTCCCTTTCTTTTCCTTTCCTGCATTCACAGAGGACAGTTCCACCATCTTCCGCATTTAAAAAAAACAACAGCAAAAACCCTGTAAATATTTGCAGCCTGCTTCGGCTCCGGTTAACCTTCACTTTTGCAAATTCAACATGTCCTTGCGTGTTTCTGGTACAACTTGGTTTCCATTCCTCTTATCAGTCTGGAAACTCCCCGCTGGCCATCCCCAAGGACATATCCCTGGGCTGGGACAATTCTGCAAGAACAGCTTTATTCATATATATTTTTTTAAATAAAGTCTTTATTAAGTGTCAACCTCAAATATTAACATTCAAATGAAGCTGGAAAGGAAGTAAGAAACTACAGCTAAAATGACCCAAAAGTTATACATCCAAGAAATTGATAATATCTATGTCAGGGATAAGGGACGTGGTGGCTCAGTGGCTAAGACGCTGAGCTTGTCAATCAAAAGGTTGGCAGTTCAGCGGTTCGAATCCCGAGTGCCGCGGAATGGGGTGAGCTCCCGTTAACTTGTCCCAGCTTCTGCCAACCTAGCAGTTCGAAAGCAGGTAAAAAATGCAAGTAGAAAAATAGGAACCACCTTTGGTGGAAGGGAACAGCGTTCCGTGCGCCTTTGGCGTTGAGTCATGCCGGCCACATGACCACGGAGACGTCTTCGGACAGCGCTGGCTCTTCGGCTTTGAAGCAGAGATGAGCACCGCCCCCCTAGAGTGGGAACGACTAGCACATATGTACGAGGAGAACCTTTACCTTTACCTTTATGTCAGGGATATCCAACTTTTGCAACTTTAAGATTTTGTGGACTTCAACTCCCAGAATTCCCCAGCCAGCCCTGCTTTAAGAGGAGTGGGGGATTCTGGGAACTGAAGTCCACAAGTTTTAAAGTTGCCGAAGTTGGATAGCCTTGACCTAGTAGAAGGACGAAATGTCTTTCTTCCCATTTTTTTTTTTTTTTAATCAGTGCAAAGTTGCAAGGAGAGAAACCAGAAACAAAAGTTTGTTTGAAGAACAGCCTCTTAGGTTGGGTGTCAACTTTTCCGTGTTGACGATATGATGATTTACGTTTTCCAGTAATTTTCCAGTAGCAGCAAGTCTCTTTGCTGGCTTTCAGCCACAGGACAAAGTCTGCCTTCTCGGTGAGGCTCTGTGGCTGCTGGAGAAAAATTGTTTTGCTGGAAGATTTATCTCCGAGTTGCTTGTTTTTTTTAACCTTGAGGGCTTTACCCTTCAGTTGGGCTTAACTTCTGAGAAGGAGGTATAAATTGTAGAGTTTTCTTTTTGAACGCAAATTAATGAGAAAAAGAAGGAGAAAGAGCAAGAGAAGAAGGAAGGAAGGAAGGAAGAAAAAGAAAGAAAGAAGAACAAAGAAAGACGGGAGGGAGGAAGGAAGGGAGGAAATGAGAAAGAGAAGGAGGAAGAAGGAAGGGAGGGATGGAGGGAAGGAAGGAAGGAAAAAGGAAGAGAAAAGGAGGAAGGAAGGAAGGAAAGAAAAAAGAGGAAGAGAGAAGGAAGGGAGGGAAGCAAGGAAGGAAGGAAAAAAGACAGAGAGGAAAAGGATGGAGATAGATAGATTAACAGAGTTGGAAGGTCTCGTCTTCTCCCTTACCTTGTCTTTTCCCTAGTCAAAGGAATAAGGTGTATAGTAAAACATAACCCACACAATGGCTGGTCTAGTGGAGAGAAGGACCAGGGGAGACAGGAGAGCATCTTCCAATATTTGAGGGGCTGCCCCAGAGAGGAGGAAGGGGGTCAAGCTATTTTCCAAAGCAAAAGGAAGGAAGGAAGGAGGGAGGGAGGGAGGGAGGGAGGAAGGTGGAAGAAGGGAAAGAAAGAGAGAGAGAGAGAGAGAGAGAAAGAAAGAAAGAAAAGAAGAAGAGAAAGGAAGAAGAAAGAAAGAAAGAAAAAAGAGTGAAGAGAAAGATAAAAGAGAAAGAAAGAAAGAAAGAAAGAAAAAAGAAAGACATCTGAATGAACCATAGATGGACAGAAGACATGGCTAGTCTAGTGAAGAGAAGGACAGGGGAGACAGGAGAGCATCTTCCAATATTTGGGGGCTGCTACAGAGAGGAGGAAGGGGGGTCAAGGCTATTCTCAAAGCAAAAGGAAGGAAGGAAAGGAAGAGGGAGGGAGGGAGGGAGGGAGGAGGGAAGGAAGGTGGAAGGGAGGGAAAGAAAGAAGAGAGGAGAGAAAGAAGGAAAGAAAGAAAGAAAAAAGAAAAAGAAAGAAAAGAAAGAAAGAAAGAAAAGAGAGAAGAAAGAAAGAAAAAAGAAGAAAGATAGAAGAAAAAGAAAGACATCTGAATGAACCATAGATGGACAGAAGACACGGCTAGTCTAGTGAAGAGAAGGACGAGGGGAGACAGGAGAGCATCTTCCAATATTGGAGGGGCTGCCCCAGAGAGGAGGAAGGGGGTCAACCTATTCTCCAAATCACCCGAAGGCCAGACAAGGAACAATGGATGGAAACTGATGAAGGAGAGATTCAATCTGGAAATAAGGAGGAATTTCCTGACAGTGAGAACAATCAACCCATGGAACAGCTTGCCACCAGAAGTTGTGGAGCTTCATCACTGGAGGCTTTCGAGAAGAGACTGGACTGCCATCTGTCAGAAGTGGTGTAGGGCCATGATGGCGAACCTATGGCACGCATGCCACAAGTGGCACGCAGAGTCATGTTGCCTGACATGCCAGCTCAGCTCAGCTCTGTCAGCTGATTTTTGGCCCTTTTGGGCCCACCAGAAGAGGGCCTGGGGGGAGGGGAGGCCCGTTTTTCTTTCTCCCTGGCTCCAGGTCCTCTCTATGCATCTGGGGAGGGCGAAAACAGCCTTCCCCAGTTCCTCGGAGGCCCGAAATGGCCCGTTTCTCAACTTCCAGCCTCCGAGGGGGTGGGGAAGGCTGTTTTCGCCCTCCCCAGATGCATAGAAAGGATCTGGAGCCACGTGAGAAAGAAAAACGGGCCTACTGGGCCATCACGTGCCAGGAGTGGGGGGCGTAAGGGGGGGGTCGCACTCACATGCATGTGGCGGGACACATAGAATTATGGGTGTGGGCACACGCACGGGCAAACTTCCCCCACCCCCCCCTTTCCTGGCACGCGACGGCAAAAAGGTTAGCCATCACTGGTGTAGGGTCTCCTGCTTGGTTGGGGGGTTGGACTAGATGACCTACAAGGTCCCTTCCAACTGTGTTAACCTGTTGTGAATTGTTATCCCTTCGCAACCACGTATTATAAGTCGAATCATCCAAAGGGGTCACCTGGGGCCACGGTAGAAATCTCCTGGGGCTTGCCGAGACTTGCTTTGGAAAAACAAGTTACGAAGGCGAGAAGACAAAGGCAGGTGTTGGATTTCACCCGCTGTTTGTATTTCTCACACAGGTTGTCGGTTCCTCATCCTGGAGACAGTGAACGTTTTCCGGAAATACATTTCCATCTGGGACGCTCCACTCAGCGGCTACCAAAACCAGGATGTTCTCTTTATAGCGACGGAAAAAGAAGCAGAACTGGCCAAGGTACATTTGATGACGTCCTTCTTCCCATCCAGAAAAAGTCCCCAGCAATTGGTTTCCATACCCAGGAAGTCAATAAAGGAGGATAGAGTTAGTCCTCGACTTACGACAGTCCGTTTAGTGACCGTTCAGTGAAAAAAGTGACTTAGGACCGCTTTTCACCGTGACGACTTTTCCAGCATCCCTGTGATCAAAATTCGGGTTGCTTGGCAACTGATTCATACTTAGGACCGTTGCGGCGTCCCGGGTTTCCTTTTTGCGACCTCCCGACCAGCGAAGTCCATGGGGGAAGTCAGATTCGCTGAAGAACCTGGTCCCTGGCTTTTCAACTGCAGGGATTCACTTAACAACGGGGGCAGGATAAGCCGTGAAACGGGGACAAAACTCATTTAGCAAACATGCCTCGCTTCGCAACTGAAATCTAGGGTGCTGTTGTGGTCGTAAGTCAGGGACCTACAGGGTTGAAAGCAGCAGCTCAAGGTTGAAAGGAGCGGTCTTTGGCGCCCTAGGCCCGTGGTGGCGAACCACAGGTGGCACGCAGCACCATATTGGTGGCCACGCGACCTCAGCTCTGGTGCACATGCGCATGCCAGTCAGCTGATTTTCGGGCCTTCTGGGCCCACCGGAAGTCAGCAAACAGGCTGTTTCCGGCCTCCGGAGGGCCTCCAGGGGAGTGGGGAAGGCAGTTTTTGCCCTCCCCAGGCTCCTAGAAAGGCTCTGGAGCCTGGGAGGCTGAAAAACGGGCCTACCTGGCCCACTGTGCCATCACATGCCAAAAGCGGGGGAAGCACGGGGGAGGGGGTCACGCAAACATGCGTGGGGGCGGGGCACATAGAATTATGGGTGTGGGCACATGCGCGCCCAACACCCCCCCGCTCCACCCCCCCCCACTTTTGGCACACGATGGCAAAAAGTTTAGCCATTACTGCCCGAGGCGCTCGGTGGCCTAGGCTTCCTTGTAGACCCAAACTAGGTAACGTCATCAGTTCTAGATGTCTGAGAGAAAACATCTGCAAAACATCAGCCAGAAAGCAAGGAAGCTCAGAGAGCACCAAGGACCCCACATAGACAGGAAGATCTGGAGAAGGGGTGTCAAACTCGAGGCCGGTGGGACAAATCCGGCCTACGGGGGGCTTAAATCTGGCCCCCTGGAAATAGCAAAGATGGTGCCCCTGGCAGCCAAAACGGGGCACGGGGAGACCCGTGCCACTTTTTCAGCCTGGACGGCCTCCTGCAGCACTTTGCCAGCCATCATGTTTATTAACATGAACAGACGTAAAACACAAATACATACGAACACATATACATTAACACAGTACTAAAACAAAAAAGAAACAAGAAACTAGCTCTTAAGAAACTCTCGCCTAGTTCTTAAGTGAGTCGCTGCAGTTGTTGAGTGAGTCACACGGTCGTTAAGCGAATCTGGCTTCCCCGTGGACTTTGCTGGTCAGAAGGTCGCAAAAGGGGGTCATGTGACACACACAACCCTCCCCCACCGGAAAGCTGCAACCGTCATCAGTACATCCCAGTTGCCAAGACTCTGAATCTTGTGATCACGTGACTATGGAAAATGCTGCAACGGTCATGTGAAAAAGGCTCATTTTTTTTTCAGTTGTAAGTTTGGTCATTAAATGAACTGTTGAAAGTCAAGGACCAGGTGGTTTCACCCAAACCATTCCCTTGCATTGTTCTCCTTGCCTATAAAGGTAAAGGTTCCCCTCATGCATACATACTAGTTGTTCCTGACTCTAGGGGGCGGTGCTCATCTCCGTTTCAAAGCCGAAGAGCCAGCGCTGTCCGAAGACGTCTCCGTGGTCATGTGGCTGGCATGACTCAACGCCAAAGGCGCACGGAACGCTGTTCCCTTCCCACCAAAGGTGGTCCCTATTTTTCTACTTGCATTTTTTATGTGCTTTCGAACTGCTAGGTTGGCAGAAGCTGGGACAAATCAAGGGAGCTCACCCCGTTACACGGCACTAGGGATTCGAACCGCTGATCTACCGATCTTTTGATCGACAAGCTCAGCGTCTTTAGCCACTGAGCCACCACGTCCCTAAAATCTAATGCTTTCTTATCTTTCCAGAGAGCAATGCGGTGCCACCACAGTCAGCTGCTCTGGTTCCGCCGTCTGTACGTGAGGTTCTCCCGCTACATGGTGGTGAACTCGCTGTGTTTCCTCTAACGGAGGAGCTGGAGACCCAGAGAGAAAAAAAGGGAGGAAGATGTGACTCTCTAGGTCCCGGCCGAGCGGAACAATCTAGCAGGACCAAGAAGAAGGGACTTCTCCGTGGAAGAAGGAAATAAGATGTTATGGCTCTCCTCTCTTAAGGAGGTCCATCTGGTGGGACCGAGAAGGGCCCTCTCTGTGGCGGCTCCATCCACGTGGAACATCATACCTGTAGTGGTGGGTTGCACAGTATAGTAGTACCCTTTTTTTTTTTTTTTAAATTTTTGATCTATATGCCGCCCTTCTCTGGAGACTCAGGGCGGCTTACAATGTGCTCAGCAATAGCCTTCATACTTTTGTATATTTATACAAAGTCAGCTTATTGCCCCCACAATCTGGGTCCTTTGCAGCGCGCATGCTCGCTTTGTACGTTCGTGCGCCCGGTTCACACACGCACCTGCCCTCCGTGCATGCACTTTCCTCGCCGAGCCTCAAAAACATCTCTAATAGGACGACAGAGTAGGGGCAGGTGGGCAGGCCTACCCATGATTTCTGTTACCAGTTCAGGCGAACCGGTGCGAACCGGCTGAATACCACCTCTGCATCCCTGTGGAAATAAGATGTTAAGGCTCTCCTCTCTTAAGGAGGTCCATCTGGTGGGACCAGGAAGGGCCTTCTCCGTGGCGGCTCCCTCCACATGGAACATCATCCCTGCAGTGGTGGGTTGCACATTGTGGTGCTACGGTTCGCCGTGCGCATGCTCGCATCGTGCCTGCGCACACCTGCCTTCGTGCATGCGCTTGGCCTTCTGTGCATACACCCGGTCTCAAAAACATCCCTAAATAGGACGACATAGAGCAGGGGCAGATGGGCAAGCCCAGCCGTGATTTCTGCTACCAGTTTTGGCGAACCGGTCTAAACCAACTGAAGATGTTACGGCTCTCCTCTCTTAAGGAGGTCCCTCTGGTGGGACCAGGAAGGGCCCTCTCCGTGGTGGCTCCCTCCCTGTGAAACATCATCCCTGCGGAGATACTGTTACTGTTTGGAACTGTTTATTGTGGATGACTACAACGACTGGTAAGAAGACTTTGTTATTGGATTATCCCTGGACTATTGTTTAACCATCTACTGCTTTATATGTGAATGACCTGGACTGTTTATTGGACTGTGCCTTATTACTATTTCCTGAAAGTAAATGTCAAGTTTCTGAAAGATGCCCTAATTAATTCATGAGCCATGATCCAAACTTCAAAGGAAATATAGTCATTTATTTGGAGCAACATTCCGGCAATACTGGGATGCAGTTAGGACTGATCCCACGTAGATTTACGTTCCCCTATGACCCTGTCTCTCCCCTCCTCTCTGGCCATGTCATAAATCACATTCTCCAATTACCCACTTTGGCTGGCTGTGAAACCCAACACCCTCCGACTGATTGCGGTAAGAAAGCATCTATGGAATGCAGCTTCAGTTAGGGAAATCAATCAGCTCTATCAGTTCTCCCTCCCTCCTGCTCATGGCAACTTGAAAGCTTTGCAAGTTGACAGTAAACACAACTCAGTATATCTCTGTGTTGGCTGCATTATTTCCTAACTACTCTCAATCGTTTTCATGTGCACACCCTTGCTACTCAAGGGTTGCTCGGCGAATTCCTTAACACATCCCGTGTTGGAATTACCCACAACTCCTTCGTTGCTCTTCTCCGCACACTTTTGTGTATTATTGCGTGTGGTTTTACAAATAACAGTATTTTGCACAAGGATGGGGAATATCCCTCCACTCCCTTCCCTTCAAAATGAATCCAAATAAAACGAACAAACGTTTTAAAAATACGTGTTTTTTTTATTTTTATTCCTTTTTTTTTTTTTTCCAAAACAAGAAATTCCTCAAAAAAGTGAAAAGTGTCGTTTTGGACAAAGCGACGTTTAAAACAGCATTCATACCTAAACGCTAAACCCGAAAACTGAAATGAAGCCACTTTAGGCATTCACACAATACACAAAGACATTTCCCCCCCCCACTCGGCAGGACAAACCAAGTTTCTTAACGCTGGGCAGCTCCGGCCACAAGGTTAAGCCACGGGTCGAATTAAAGACCGTCATAAAATGAGGCCTCCAGAGAAATGATGGATCATTTCTGATGGATCAGCGCTTCCTTCCGATAAAAAAAAATCTTTAAGAATTCATTTTTTTCTTTTCTTTTTTTTTAAATAATGGAGATCTTCTCCGAATCTTCAGGCCGTCTTAATTAAGAAAGAATCTCAGTTAGATGGAATCTCCTACTTCCATTGGAGGAGATCTCCTTGCCCCCCAAAATACAGGTAATCCTCAACGTACGACCGTAATTGAGCCCAGAATTTCCGTTGTTGAGCGAGACACTTGGTTCGGCGAGTTTGGCCCCGCTGTACAACGTTTTTTTCCCAGCCACCGTTACTAAGTGAATCACTGCAGGGGCGAAGTTAGGAACGCGGTTTTTAAGTGGGCCTGGCTTTCCCCGTGGATTTAGCCTTTTAGAAGGTCACAAAAAGGGATCCCGTGATCCCGGGGACACCGCGACCGTCATAAAAACGAACCGGTTAGCGAGCGTCCGAATTTTGTTCTCGTGATTCCCTAGGGATGCTGCAATGGTCGTTAAGTGTGAAAATCGGTCATAAGTCACTTTTTTTTTTCAATGCTAAATGTTTATGGAGGTCCTCCGTCATCCAGGTTGTCCCAAAAAATGCTCTTTTTTTTTTTCTTTCAAGAGGCAACTTGGACTTTCTGATTTTTTTCTTTGAAGACACTATTAGATAGATTAACAGAGTTGGAAAGGGACCTTTGGAGGTCATCTAGTCCAACCCCCCGCTCAAGCAAGAGACCCCCTACACCATCCCCGACAAATGGCAGTCCGATCTCCCCTTGAAAGCCCCCCCGTGATGAAGCTCCCACAAGAAGACGTTTCCCTTCTCATCCAAGAAGCTTCTTCGGCTCCGACAGGAGGGCCGGGCAATGATTTCAATGATGATGTAAAACTTCCAGCGGTCGCTAAATGAAAAGTGGTAAGTTGAGGACTATCCGTAGGTGTGGGGGGAGGCCCTCTTGGAAATTCCCCTCTGGATCTTTGCACCATGAGCAAACATCGATGGTGTAAGTTTTTGGGTCTTCGCGACATTTAAATCTCAATCGCTCTTTTTTTCTCAAGGTAGGAAAGAAATATTTTACACGTATTTTTTTGATGCGTCGGATCGAGAGAGTCCTGTTTCTATGCCGCTATTCTATCCGATGGAGGAAATAGGCAGGAGAGAGAGAGAGATACACACACACATACAAAATGGCACCTTTTGGTTTCCTAAACGAAACCCGAATTAAAAGAAGGTTTTTCCAGAAAAAAGGACAGTCAAGGCTTCGACATATTCCTGATAGTCGGGTGGCCCTTCACCGCTTTCTCCCATTCCTTCCCGTTGATCGGCTCCACCGTGATCTTGGTGATGGTCCCATCATCCAGGCAATGGGGCGCGATTCCTGCGGGGAGAGAGAGAGAGAGAAAGAGGCAGCTGTAGCCGAAAAACAACATGGGAAAAGACCTTGGAGGAGGGATGAAATGCTCCCGGTTCGGTAGCGATGGTGGCGGGTGGTTCGGAGAACCGGTAGCAAAAATCCCTGTTCCCCCCCCCGCATTGCCCAGCTGAGCCGCGCGATCATCAGAACCTTTTTTTTTTTTTTACTTTTAAAAGCATTTTTTCCACAACCTCTTCTGCCGAAAAAATGTTTTTAAAAGTAAAAAAAAAAAAAAAAAAAAAAAGCCTCTGATGATCCCACAGCTCAGCTGGGATCGTCAGAGGCTTTTCAAAGCATTTTTTTTTCTGCAACCTCTTCGGCCGAAGAGGTGGTTAAAAAAAAACGCTTTGAAAAGTCTCTGACGATCCCAGCTGAGTGGCCTGATGGGCAGAGGCTTTTCAAAGCATTAGAAAAAATGCTTTGAAAAGTTAAAAAAAAAAAAAGTTGGCCACGCCCACCCAGTCACATTACCCCCCACCACCACCACCAAGCCACGCCCACAGAACCGGTAGCAACAAATTTTACATTTCACCCCGGTCATAAGTCACTTTTTTCAGTGCTGTTGTAAACTCTGAATGGTCACTAAACAAACTGTTGTTAAGTTGAGGACTGCCTATACACCCGTCACAAATGGAATAGGAGGAGTGTGTTTGCAGGCTCTTAAAAGAAAATTATGCGGGTTTTTTTTTTTTGGCCATAAAACACTTTTCACAGGTATGACATATGCGAAGGTTTAGGTTTGCAACTGCTACAAAAAATGAAACAGCTCTCAGCTGCAGCCTAGAGGAAAAACCTACATCTGCTGCAGTCCCGGAAAATTAAAATTTATTGGTTCGATTTATATGCCGCCCTTCTCTGGAGACTCAGGGCGGCTTACAATGCGTTAAGCAATAGCCTCCCTACTTTTGTATATACCTGCTTAGTAGGGCTTTCGGCCCCCCCTAAGTGGTGTTCTTTTTTATACAAAGTCAGTTTATTGCCCCCACAATCCAGGTCCTCATTTTACCTACCTCGGAAGGATGGAAGGCTGAGTCAACCTTGAGCCTGGTGAGATTCGAACTTGCAGTAATTGCAGGCAGCTGGTGCTACTTAACAGCACTTAGTCTGCTGCGCCACCCAAGGCTCTTACATTGAGAAGAACCAGGGTGTCAGCACTTCAACCTGCATTTACTCTAGTGCTGACATAAGAAGGAGAAGAGGGGGCAGCTGGCAAGAGGACGCTTGACATTTCACCTACTTATTTTCCCTGAAGATAATATCCTCTAGGAGATGAGATGGGGGGGGACATTCCTGGGAGCTTAAGTAGTAGATATGGGGAGAGTGATTTGGAAGAAGGCCAATGAGATGCAGAGAATTGGGGAACGGAAAGGGAAGGTTTGGGGTCAGGAAGTCAGAGTTGGCTACGCCATGATCGGGGCCAGATTGTCGTGCTCAATAAAATGAAAGATTTCTTCAAAGACTTATCTGTTTGGAAATGCAATTTATTTTATTTGAGATGACATCGAAACCTGACACAGGGTTATTTAAAGAAAAAAAAAAAAAGACGACGGATTCATTTCCCGGGAGAGAACGTCTGGATTTGAATGAGCTACCCCACCCTCTGCCCTGAAATCGTTATCGTTACCGTAACCGTCCGGATTGGAACGCGGGGTATAAAAACTCTGGACACCGCACGTCTTACAGAAGGTGTGCTGGGCGGAGTGAGTGTTGAAGGTATACGTTGTGAGATGGTCAGCACCCTGGAGAGAAAGGAAGAAGAATCAGCTGGAAGGGACCTTGGAGGTCTTCCCACCTCCTCAAACAGGAGACCCTCCACCAAACTCAATTTCATTGAGGGCCACATCAGGGCTGTGGTTGACCTCAGGGAGGCGGGAGTGGGGGCATGGCCGACTGGGTGGGCGTGGCCGACTGGGTGGGCATGGCCAAATTGATGCCACTCCCCAAACTGCTGGCATGTATGACGCCACATTGACCTGATTTTTCTTCTTCACGCTGGGTAGACCAGGATGGCCCCGCCAGCCAGATCCGACATGGATCTTGAGTTTGAAACCCCTGCCCCAGGGGTAAAATCCAGCAGGTTCTGACAGGTTCTGGAGAACCAGTAGCGGAAATTTGGAGTAGTTCAGAGAACTGGCAAATACCACCTCTGGCTGGTCCCAGAGTGGGGGTGGGAATGGGGATTTTGTAGTATCCTTCCCCCAGGAGTGGGGAGGGAATGGGGATTTTGTAGTATCCTTCCCCCAGGAGTGGAGAGGGAATGGGGATTTTGTAGTATCCTTCCCTCAGGAGTGGGGAGGGAATGGGGATTTTGTAGTATCCTTCCCCAGGAGTGGGGGTGGGAATGGGGATTTTGTAGTATCCTTCCCCCAGGAGTGGGGAGGGAATGGGGATTTTGTAGTATCCTTCCCCGAGGAATGGGGAGGGAATGGGGATTTTGTAGTATCCTACCCCGAGAAGTGGGGGTGGGAATGGGGATTTTGTAGTATCCTTCCCCCAGGAGTGGGGAGGGAATGGGGATTTTGTAGTATCCTTCCCCCAGGAGTGGAGAGGGAATGGGGATTTTGTAATATCCTTCCCCCAGGAGTGGGGAGGGAATGGGGATTTTGTAGTATCCTTCCCCCAGGAGTGGGGGTGGGAATGGGGATTTTGTAGTATCCTTCCCCCAGGAGTGGGGAGGGAATGGGGATTTTGTAGTATCCTTCCCCCAGGAGTGGGGGTGGGAATGGGGATTTTGTAGTATCCTTCCCCCAGGAGTGGGGGTGGGAATGGGGATTTTGTAGTCTCCTTCCCCAGGAGTGGGGTGGGAATGGGGATTTTGTAGTATCCTTCCCCAGGAATGGAGAGGGAATGGGGATTTTGTAGTACCTTCCCCCCAGGAGTGAAGAGGGAATGGGGATTTTGCACTATCCTTCCCCTGTCATGGCCACCAAGCCACACCATGCCCACCGAGCCACGCCCACAGAACCAGTAGTAAAAATATTTGGATTTCACCACTGCCCTGCCTTATACCATTTGAGGCAAGTGGCTGCCCAGTCTCTTCTTAAAAACCTCTAGTGATGGAGCACCCACTTCTGGTGGCAAGCTGTTCCACTGGTTAATTGTCCTTTCTCCTTAAGTTTCTCCTTAATTCCAGGTTGCTTCTCTCCTTGGTTAGTTTCCATCCATTGTTTCTTGTTCCTCAGGGGCTTTGGAGAATAAGTGGACCCCCGCTTCTTTCTGGCAGCCCCTCAAATACTGGAATCCTGCTATCATGTCCCCCCTAGTCCTTCTTTTCTCTAGACTAGCCATGCCCAGTTCCTGCAACCGTTCTTCCTATGTTTTAGTCTCCAGACCTGTAATAACCTTAGTTGCTCTTCTTTGCAAAGTCTCAACGTTGTTTTTGTCGTCTGGGGACCAAAAACTGGATGCAGGCGTGGCTTTTCTAAGGTTTTATTTTATTTTTATTTTTTATTTTATTTTGAATTTGTATACCGCCCTTCTCCCTGAGGACTCAGGGCGGTGAACAGCCAGGTAAAAACATCAAGTACAAATATTAAAATACAGTTAATATATATATATATATATAAATTTGGCCCCATTAATTAAAAACAATAAACAAAACACTTAAAAACACTTAAAAAATTAGGCCTTAAAACACTTAAAAAATTTATAAAGCGGGGCTAACACTTCGCTTGATTTTTTTTTGATTCTATGCCTCTGTTTATACAATCCAGGATTATAGAAGCAGGGATGGGTTCTAAATTTTTTTTACTACGGGTTCTGTGGGCGTGGCTTATTTTGTGTGGGTGTGGCTTGGAGGTCATGTGACTAGGTGGGCGTGGCTAGCTGGTCAGAGTCATTTCTGGAAGGTCCTCGCACTTACGACCAGTCCTCGCACTTACGACCCGACTCATTTGTTTGCTTTTAACACTAATCAGCTGTAGGGCGGCCCTTTGAAGCCCCGCGGCAAGAGTTTAAACAGTTTTTTTTCCCCCTCTAGTCATCAGCTGGGACTCAGGAGGCAGCAATAGATTGGGGGTGGGGCCAAATAAAAGGTAAGAATAACGTGGGGGGGGGGAGGACGGGGAGAACCGGTTCGGTGATGTCATATCGTCACCGCTACCGGCTCGGCCGAACCGGACCGAACCGGGAGGAACCCACCACTGTATAGGAGACCCAACGTGGAAGGATTTGGGCATTGTTTTGTGAGATCAAAGAGAAGAATGGTGTGTGTGTGTGTGGGGGGTGTTTCTTGAGGGAGGTGGGGGGTTTCTCTTATCTCTGGAGTCACTAAGCTCTGGATCCCCACTAAACTTTTTGCAGAGTTGCTCAGCAGGATGAGTGTCTCTCCAAAGCAAGCAGTTTTTCCAACACTCAACATGCCAAGGGGAATAAGCCCACAGGTGCCCAGGCAACCTCTACCCGCCCTCTTCTTACCTTCAACAGCTTAAAGTGGGAAGCGGGCACGATGAAATGCCTGTTCTGTTTCTTCACACAGATGCTGCAACTGGAGAAGGGGAGGAGGGGGAGGAGGAGGAGAAGAAGAAGAAAAAATGTGAATTGGGGAGAGAGATAGACCCTCTCAACAAAAGTAGGCTGAGCCTGGGGGGAAAAAAGGAAGTTTTTGTAGCCCTTTTTGTGAGGAAAGCAAATTCTTTTCGTTTGCTTGGAAGCAGCTTACATCCTGCCGCAAAACCTTTAATATCATTAAACAACAACATCTGGCTATCCCAGGTGCTTGGGAAAGACTTGATAGGTGGATAGAAGTGCAAATTCAGCCAGAACATCTGGCTGACTGGGTGAGCACTCTTTGAACACCATCTGCACTGACAAATCAATCGGTCAATTGCAGAAGGCAGCTTTGCTTGGAACGGCTTACATCCTGCCACGAAACCTTTAATATCATTAAACAATAATATCTGGCTACCCCAGGTGCTTGGGAAGAAATTGATAGGTGGACAAAAAAACTGGTCTAAATATCTGGCTGGCTGGGTGAGAACCACTTGGAACACCGTCGGAATTGACAAAATCCCTGTCAGTCAGTCGCAAAAGGCAGCTTTGCTCGGAATAGCTTACATCCCGTCACAAAACCTTTAATATTTAACATCTGGCTAGCCCAGGTGCTTGGGAAGATCTCGATAGGTGGATAAAAATACAAAATCCAGTCTAACCATCTGGCTGATGGGTAAGAACCACTTGAACACTGTCAGCATTGACAAATTCCCCATCAGTCAATTGCAAAAGGCAGCTTTGCTCAGAACAGCTGACATCCTGAGATGTGATCTTTCTTATTAAATGTTCACATCTCAGGTGCTTAGGGAGCACTCAACAGGTGGACAAACATGCCAAATCTAGTCTAAATATCTGGTTGACTGTGCAACCAATAATAATAATTGTAAAACATCTGGAGAACCACTTGAACAGCATCGGCATTGACAAAACCCCCGTTAGTCAATTGCGGAAGGCAGCTTTACTCGAAACAGCTTACATCCTGCGACGTGTTTTTTAATATTACTGAATATTCACATCTGCCTATCCCACGTCCTTGGGAAGCACTCAACAGGTGGACAAATATGTCAGATCTAGTCTAAATATCTGGCTGACCGTACGACGAAGGATAACACGTCCTTTACATCTGTCCCAAGGAGAAAAATATCTGGTGATAACTTACTTGCAATCAAAAACATGAAGGTTATCGGAGGCCCAGACTTCAAACCGGACGGCCCCGCAGTGACAGCCTCCCGTGTGTTTCACCAGCCCTTGATACTCACTAAACAGAAAAGAGAGACGTTCCCGATCATTTCCAGAACCAAGGAATTACAAAACAGGCAGTCCTCGATTTACGACCACAACGGAAACCCCACACATTTCCGTTGCTAAGCGAGACAGTTGTTCGGTGTGTTTGACCACTGTTCTCACCACACGTTAAGGCAATCCCTGCAGTTGTTAAGTGAGTCACACGGTTGTTAAGGGATTCTGGCTTCCTTGTTGTCTTCGCTCGTCACAAAAAGGGGATCGCACGACCCCGGGGACGCTGCGACTGACCGTCATCAATACGAGTCACGCGCCAAGCGTCTGAATTTTCATCACGTGACAATGGGAATGCTGCAAGGGTTGCAAGTGTGAAAAACGGCCCCAAGTCGCTTTTTTCAGTGCCATTGTAACTCCGAACGGTCACTAAGTGAATGGTCGTAAGTTGAGGACTATCTGTACAGCCATTAGTGGAGTGTTTCTCAACCTTGGTAGCTTGAAGATGGGTGGACTTCAACTCCCAGAATCCCCCAGCCAGCAGCAACTTAAAAGACACAATTCTCAAGTGTGGTTTGGTTCTTCCCAGCTTCCGGGTAAAGGCCAGATATTGGGGTGCCCCTTCCTTATGGGTGTGCGTCCCCCAAACACTTTACAGGACCCCCAAGTAGCCCTCCCTCCCCACCCACCCAAGAGAGAGGCTGACCAGGATAGGGGATCCCCAATAACAGTGGAGAAAAACCCCAGGCTAACTCGGGGTTCTGTCTTAATGGAGGAGCGGGACAGTTTAGGGTTCTGCCTTAAATGGGGTGGGTGGGACAATCCTGGGGGATCTCGCAGCTGCAGCATGGGGGAGATCTGCCTCCTGTCCTGCTGCAGCCCTGCACATCTCCCCACCCCCCAAAAAAGGGGGTTTGTTTGGTTCGCAACTCAAAAATGGGGTTCCTTTGGTTTGTAAGTCAGAAAAGGGGTGTTTGCCGGTTCGCAAATCGAAAAAGGGGTTCGTTTGATTGGCAGGTCAAAAAAGGAGTTCCGAGTCAGGAAAGGGGTTCGCTTGATTTGCAAGTCCAGAAGGGGGGTTCGTTTGATGGGCAGGTCCAAAAAAGGGCCTTCCTTTGGCTCGCAAGTCAGAAAAGGGGTTCGCTTGGTTGGCAAATCCCAAAAAGGGGTGGATTGATTTGCAAGATCAGAAAAGGGGTTCGTTTGGTTTGCGAGTCCAGGAAGGAGTTCATTCGATGGGCAAGTCAAAAAAGAAAAAGGGGGGTTTGTTTGATTGGCAGGTCAAAAAAAGGGGGTTCCTTAGCTTTGTCGATCAGAAAAGGGGTTCGCTTGGTTTGCGAGTCCAGGAAGGAGTTCTTTCGATGGGCAAGTCAAAAAAGAAAAAAAAAGGGGGGGTTCGTTTGATTGGCAGGTCAAAAGAAAAAGGGGGTTCCTTAGCTTTGTCAATCAGAAAAGGGGTTCGCTTGGTTTGCAAGATCAGAAAAGGGGTTCCTTTGCGAGTCCAGGAAGGAGTTTGCTGAATGTTCATTCGATTGGCAGGTCAAAAGGAAAGGGGGGGTTCGTTTGATTGGCAGGTCAAAAGAAAAGGGGGGGTTCGTTTGATTGGCAGGTCAAAAGGAAAGGGGGGGTTCGTTTGATTGGCAGGTCAAAAGGAAAGCGGGGTTCATTTGATTGGCAGGTCAAAAGAAAAGGGGGGTTTCGTTTGATTGGCAGGTCAAAAGGAAAGGGGGGTTCATTCGATTGGCAGGTCAAAAGAAAAGGGGGGGTTTCGTTTGATTGGCAGGTCAAAAGGAAAGGGGGGTTCATTCGATTGGCAGGTCAAAAGAAAAGGGGGGGTTCGTTTGATTGGCAGGTCAAAAGGAAAGGGGGGGTTCATTTGATTGGCAGGTCAAAAGGAAAGGGGGGGGTCGTTTGATTGGCAGGTCAAAAGGAAAGGGGGGTTCGTTTGATTGGCAGGTCAAAAGAAAAGGGGGGGTTCGTTTGATTGGCAGGTCAAAAGGAAAGGGGGGGGGTCCTTAGCTTTGTCAATCAGAAAAGGGGTTCGCTTGGTTAGGGAGTCCAGGAAGAAGTTTGTTCGATGGGCAAGTCAAAAAAGAAAAAAAAAGGGGGGGGGGTCGTTTGATTAGCAGGTCAAAAGGAAAGCGGGGTTCGTTTGATTGGCAGGTCAAAAGGAAAGCGGGGTTCATTTGATTGGCAGGTCAAAAGGAAAGGGGGGGTTCGTTTGATTGGCAGGTCAAAAGGAAAGGGGGGTTCATTCGATTGGCAGGTCAAAAGGAAAGGGGGGGTTCGTTTGATTGGCAGGTCAAAAGGAAAGCGGGGTTCATTTGATTGGCAGGTCAAAAGGAAAGGGGGGGTTCGTTTGATTGGCAGGTCAAAAGGAAAGGGGGGGGTCCTTAGCTTTGTCAATCAGAAAAGGGGTTCGCTTGGTTAGGGAGTCCAGGAAGAAGTTTGTTAGATGGGCAAGTCAAAAAAGAAAAAAAAAGGGGGGGGTCGTTTGATTAGCAGGCCAAAAGGAAAGGGGGGGGTCGTTTGATTGGCAGGTCAAAAGGAAAGGGGGGGTTCATTTGATTGGCAGGTCAAAAGGAAAGGGGGGTCGTTTGATTGGCAGGTCAAAAGGAAAGGGGGGGGTCGTTTGATTGGCAGGTCAAAAGGAAAGGGGGGTTCGTTTGATTGGCAGGTCAAAAGAAAAGGGGGGTTCGTTTGATTGGCAGGTCAAAAGGAAAGCGGGGTTCATTCGATTGGCAGGTCAAAAGGAAAGGGGGGTTCGTTTGATTGGCAGGTCAAAAGGAAAGCGGGGTTCATTCGATTGGCAGGTCAAAAGAAAAGGGGGGGTTCGTTTGATTGGCAGGTCAAAAGGAAAGGGGGGGTTCCTTAGCTTTGTCAATCAGAAAAGGGGTTCGCTTGGTTAGGGAGTCCAGGAAGAAGTTTGTTAGATGGGCAAGTCAAAAAAGAAAAAAAAGGGGGGGGGTCGTTTGATTAGCAGGCCAAAAGGAAAGGGGGGGGTCGTTTGATTGGCAGGTCAAAAGGAAAGGGGGGTTCGTTTGATTGGCAGGTCAAAAGGAAAGGGGGGGTCGTTTGATTGGCAGGCCAAAAGGAAAGGGGGGGTTCCTTTGATTGGCAGGTCAAAAGGAAAGGGGGGGTTCCTTTGATTGGCAGGCCAAAAGGAAAGGGGGGGTTCCTTTGATTGGCAGGTCAAAAGGAAAGGGGGGGGTTCCTTAGCCTTGTAAGGTCGGGGGAGGGGTTCGGCCGCGGGGTCCCCCCTTACTCACAAGGCGTCGAGCAGGAGCTTGGCCGCCTCCTCGCAGCTGAGCCGCTGCCGCTTCTGGAACTGCAGCCAGCGCTCCCGCTGCGCCCCCAGGGCCAGGCTGGGGGGCTCCTCCTCCTCCGACGCCCCCGGGCAGCCCGAGCCCAGCGGAGCCCCCTTGGCCGGCGGAGGCGGAGGCGGCTTGGCCGGCGCCCGGGAGGCGCTCCGGGAGCCCCGCTCGCGAGCCGGGGGAGGCGCTGGCGGCGTCCGCCTTCGGCCCGGCGACCTCCGCGCCTTCCCCATCCTGGCCGGCCGCTCCTGCCCTGCGCTGCGCTGCGCTGAGCTGAGCTGCCCGGCCGGCCGCTGGAGGGCGAGCCTGCGCCGAGGAAGAGGAGGAGGAGGAAGGAGGGGAGTGGGGAGCAAGCTCTGGGAAGGGGGGAGGGAGGAAGAGGAGGAGGAGGAGGGAAAGAGAGGGAGGAAGATTCAGGGGAAGGGAGGGGGCTAAGAGGAGGAGGGAGAGGGGAGGAGGGGAGAAACCTCTGGGAAGGGGGGAGGGGGGGGAGGAGGAGGAGGGAAAGGAAGGGGGTGGGAGGGAGGAGGAGGGAAAGGAAGGAAGGAAGGAAGGAAGGTTTAGGGGAGGGAGGAGGAGGGAAAGAGAGGGAGGAAGATTCAGGGGAAGGGAGGGGGCTAAGAGGAGGAGGGAGAGGGGAGGAGGGGAGCAAGCCCCTGGAAGGGGGGAGGGAGGAGGAGGAGGAGGGAAAGGAAGGAAGGAAGGTTTAGGGGAGGGAGGAGGAGGAAGAGGAGGGAAAGGGAGGGAGGAAGATTCAGGGGAAGGGAGGGGGCTAGGAGGAGGAGGAAGAGGGGAGGAGGGGAGCAAGCCCCTGGAAGGGGGAAGGGAGGAGGAGGAGGAGGGAAAGGAAGGAAGGAAGGAAGGTTTAGGGGAGGGAGGAGGAGGAGGGGAAGGGAGGGAGGAAGATTCAGGGGAAGGGAGGGGGCTAAGAGGAGGAGGGAGAGGGGAGGAGGGGAGCAAGCCCCTGGAAGGGGGAAGGGAGGAGGAGGAGGAGGGAAAGGAAGGAAGGAAGGAAGGTTTAGGGGAGGGAGGAGGAGGAGGGGAAGGGAGGGAGGAAGATTCAGGGGAAGGGAGGGGGCTAAGAGGAGGAGGGAGAGGGGAGGAGGGAAGCAAGCCCCTGGGAGGGGGGAGGGAGGAGGAGGAGGAGGAGGGAAAGGAAGGAAGGAAGGTTTAGGGGAGGGAGGAGGAGGGAAAGAGAGGGAGGAAGATTCAGGGGAAGGGAGGGGGCTAGGAGGAGGAGGGAGAGGGGAGGAGGGGAGCAAGCCCTGGAAGGGGGGAGGGAGGAGGAGGAGGAGGGAAAGGAAGGGGGTGGGAGGGAAGAGGAGGGAAAGGAAGGAAGGAAGGAAGATTTAGGGGAGGGAGGAGGAGGAGGGAAAGGGAGGGAGGAAGATTTAGGGGAAGGGAGGGGGCTAGGAGGAGGAGGGAGAGGGGAGGAGGGGAGAAACCTCTGGGAAGGGGGGAAGGGGGAGGAGGAGGAGGGAAAGGAAGGGGGAGGGAGGGAGGAGGAGGAAGAGGGAAAGGAAGGAAGGAAGGAAGATTTAGGGGAGGGAGTGAGGAGGAGGAGGAGGGATGAGATTTAGGGGAAGGGAGGGGGCTAAGAGGAGGATGGGAGGATGGGAGCAATCTCCGAGAAGGGGGGAGGAGGAGGAGGGAAAGGAAGGGAGGGATGAAGATTTAGGAGAAGGGAGGGGGCTAAGAGGAGGAGGAGGAGGAAAAGGAAGGGAGGAAGATAGATAGATTTAGGGGAAGGGAGGGGGCTAAGAGGAGGAGGAAGAAGAATGGAGAGGGGGCAACCTCCGGGGAGGGGAGGGAGGGGGAAGGGAGGAAAGAGAAAAGAAGGGAGGGAGGGAAGGAAGGAAGGAAGAGGAGCTGGTGATGGAGGAGGAAGAGAGGCAGAGGGAGGGAGGGAGAAGGTAAAGAAGGAAGGAAGGTAAAGAAAGAAAAAGGAAGAAAGAAAAAGAAAGAAAGAAAGAAAAAGATTGGGGGACGGAAGGGAGAGAGGAAGAAAGAATAGAAAGCAAGCAAGCAAGCAAGAAAGACTGGGGGAAAGATGGAAGGGAAGAAGAGGAGGAGGAGGAGTGGACGGAGGCCAAGAGACCCACCAGGCCAGGGGCAGTGGGGAAGAGCTTGCCTGCAGAAGGCCCACCAGTGGAGGCTTTCACGAAGAGGCTGGACAGCCACTTCTCAAACATGGCATAGGGGCTCTCCTGCTTGAGCAGGGGGCTGGACTAGAGGACCTCCAAGGTCCCTTCCAACTCTGTGATTCTGTTAAAAATCCTTCTACAAGGGGCCAAGGATACATTGCTTTTATCCTGAAAAGGGGAGGGGAGGGTTTGCATCTCTCCGCCTGTCAGGGTAAGGAACAGTGGTGGGGGGGGGATCAACTTTTTTTTACTACCTGTTCTGTGGGCGTGGCTTGGTGGGCGTGGCAGGGGAAGGATACTGTAAAATCTCCATTCCCATCCCACTCCAGGGGGAAGGATACTGTAAAATATCCATTCCCACCCCACTCCAGGGGGAAGGATGCTGTAAAATCTCCATTCCCACCCCACTCCAGGGGGAAGGATGCTGTAAAATCTCCATTCCCTCCCCAATCCAGGGGGAAGGATACTGTAAAATCTCCATTCCCACCCCACTCCAGGGGGAAGGATACTGCAAAATCCCCATTCCCACCCCACTCCAGGGGGAAGGATACTTGTAAAATCTCCATTCCCACCCCTCTCCAGGGGAAGGATACTGTAAAATCTCCATTCCCAACCAACTCCAGGGGGAAGGAAACTATAAAATCTCCATTCCCACCCTCTCCAGGGGAAGGAAACTGTAAAATCTCCATTCCCACCCACTCTAGGGGGAAGGATACCGTAAAAGCTCCATTCCCACCCCACTCCAGGGGGAAGGATGCTGTAAAATCTCCATTCCCACCCACTCCAGGGGGAAGGATACTTGTAAAATCTCCATTCCCACCCCTCTCCAGGGGAAGGATACTGTAAAATCTCCATTCCCAACCCACTCCAGGGGGAAGGAAACTATAAAATCTCCATTCCCACCCCACTCTAGGGGGAAGGATACTGTAAAATCTCCATTCCCACCCCACTCCAGGGGGAAGGATACTTGTAAAATCTCCATTCCCACCCCTCTCCAGGGGAAGGATACTGTAAAATCTCCATTCCCAACCCACTCCAGGGGGAAGGAAACTATAAAATCTCCATTCCCACCCCACTCTAGGGGGAAGGATACTGTAAAATCTCCATTCCCACCCCACTCCAGGGGGAAGGAAACTGTAAAATCTCCATTCCCACCCCTCCAGGGGGAAGGATACTGTAAAAGCTCCATTCCCACCCCACTCCAGGGGGAAGGAAATTATAAAATCTCCATTCCCTCCCCACTCCAGGGGGAAGGATACTGCAAAATCCCCATTTTCTTCCAATCAGCTGGGACTCGGGAGGCAGAGAATAGATGGGGGCGGGGCCAGTCAGAGGTGGTATTTGCCGGTTCTCCGAACTACTCAAAATTTCCGCTACCGGTTCTCCAGAACTGGTCAGAACCTGCTGAAGCCCACCTCTGGTAAGGAAGCAGTGGTGGGACAGGGGAGGGTCTTCATCTCAGGCTTGCAATCCTCCCCCCACCCACCCACTCGTCCCCTAATTACCAAATGAACCCAGTCCTGGCTTTGAATACAGATAGTCCTTGACTTACGACAGTTCATTTAGTGACCATTCAAAGTTGCAACAGCGCTGAGAAAAGCGACTTATGATCGTTTTCCACACTTACGACCGTTGCAGCCTCCCCTGTGGTCACGTGATCAAAATTTGGATGCTTGGCAACTGACTCATATTTACGACGGTCGCAGTGTCCCAGGGTCACGTGACTCCCTTTTGCAACCGTCTGACAAGCAACATCAGTAGGGAAAGCCAGGTTCCACTTAACAACCAGGTTCCTAACTTATCACCTGCAGTGATTCACTTAACAACCGTAGGAAGAAAGGTCGTAAAATGGGTCAAAACTCACTGAACAAATTCTCACTTAACAGCATAAATGTTGGGCTCAACTGTGGCCTTAGACTTACCACCACAGTTGAGCTCCAAATTGCTGTTGCTAAGTGAGACAGTTCTGAAGTGAGTTTCGTTCCGTTTCACGACCTTTCTTCCTATGGTTGTTAAGTGAATCACACAGTTGTTCAGGGTATCCGGCTTCCCCACTGTTGGTCCGAAGCTCACAAAAGGGGATCACTTCACCCTGGGACACTTCAGGCGTCATAAATAGGAGCCGGTTGCCACACATCTGTTGTGGCCCGTCAGTGGCCTGTGCAGCTAGTAGCTGATTCAGACAGTGAGGAGGCTGGTGTGGTGCTGCGCCAGCAGCCTGTGCAGCTGGTGCTCGAGTCGGACAGTGAGGAGGCTGGAGAAGATGTGGTGCCAGAGGCGGGGATTCAGCCAGGGCCTTCAGAACCTCCAGAAGCTTCCATGGGTGAAGAGGACGAAGAGGAGGAGCCTCTTCTCAATGCACAGGTGCGCAGAGCTGCCAAAAGGCAGGAATGGCTCCTCAGGAGGAGGTCTCCTCGAGAGTAAGGCTTGGGGCTAATTGGCCACTCCCTTAGCCTATTTAAGGAGGAACGCCGACTGAAGCAATTTGTAGGGAACAACTTTAGTTCATTCTCCTTCGCGTCTGGATTCTCTGCAAATTGCTTCTGGGCTTTCTGCCAACCTTAGTAAGATTGTGATTACTTTATCTTTGGTTTCTTGTAGGCTGTTAAGGAATTTTATTAACAGCCTTTGTTTGGAAAAGACTGAGTTATTTTAGTAAATTTAAGTTTTGTACAAACTTTGTGTGCGCTGCGTTCTTTGGGGTCCGTAGCTGGGGCAGAACAGCGTCCAAATTTTGATCGTGGGGTCATAAGTGTGAATAATGGTGATAGGTCACTCTTTTCAGCGCCTTTGTAACTTTGAATGGTCACTAAACCAACTGTTTCTAAGTTGAGGAGTGCCTGGTTGCCAAATACCCAAATTGGGATTGTGTCAGCGTTCCCACCAGCTAGGTAGACTTCCAAAAACAAATCCGTGACTCCACCTCTAAACTTATTAACCTCCTTCAACGAAGAGGTTGAGCTGGATTCTCTCGTGCTTGAAGTTCCGTGTTCTATGAACAGCAGCCGGTGACTCAGTCATAAATTACGGCTGACGCATGCCAATTTTTTTTTAAATAAATAATCATCCCGCAGACATGAAAAGCATGCTTCCTGTACTG